GCTACTGCTCTCCTCCAGGTGCAGAAGGTGCTGAGCGCGGCTAACGAGCACGTGGTCAGCGTGGGGGCGAGCTTCAGCGCGGCGGCGGACTCTCACCTGGTCTGCCTCCAGAACCAGGACGGCAGCTACCAGACGCAGGCCAGCAGCCGCCCAGGACACACACGCACAGGTCAGAGAGAGGCTTTTATTGTGAAGGAGACAGGATGTCACTAACGATAGTAATGATAGAATCAATAATGAGGAGAATCCATCTTTGATCTTTTTAACAAAAGTAAATAAATGAAAAACAACAAATGGGAGAACCCTTAGAAAAATACACATGAATAATAATAATGCCTTTGTTAAATAAAAATATATTCTTATTATTATTATTACTATTAATGATAATAATAATAATCATAGTAAAAATAAAATAAATAATAACAATGATAATCCATCTTTGATTTATACAATACCTAATTTTTTAAATATCTGTAACAAAAGTAAATAAATGGAAAAACAACGAAAGGCAAAAACCTTAGAAAAATACACAATGATAATTATAATGCCTTTCTTAAATAAAAATATATTATTATTACTATTGATAATAATAATCATAGTAAAAATCAAATAAATAGGTGGCCGGATAACACCGGTAAAGAAAAATGGCTTCAGACGCTTTTATTGTTTAGCAGACAGGATATCACAAATAATAGTAATAATAGAATAAATAATATTGAGGATGCATCTTTGATCTTTTAAACAAAAGTAAATAAATGAAAAACAACAAATGGGAGAAACCTTAGAAAAATACACATGAATAATAATAATGCCTTCATCAAATGAAAATATATTATTATTAGTATTATTATTATTACTATTAATAATAATAATCATAGTAATAATAGAATAAATAATAATCCATCTCTGATCTATACATTATTTAATTTCTTAAATATCTTTAACAAATGCAAATAAATGAAAAACAATAAATGGGAGAAACCTTAGAAAAATACATATGAATAATAATAATGCCTTTATTGAATAAAAATACATTATTATTATTATTATTATTATTATTATTATTATTAATGGTTAAAATAGATTATAATAATTATGAGATAACACCGGGAAAGAAGCAGGCAAGATATCACAAATATTAGTAATAATAGAATAAATAATAATGATATGGCATCTTTTTAATATCTGTAACAAAAGTAAATAAATGAAAAGCAACAAATTACAGAATCCTTAGAAAAATACACATGAATGATAATGCCTTTATTATTATTATTACTATTGATAATAATAATAATCATAGTAAAAATAAATCTGTGAAAATCCATCTTTGATCTATACAATATTGTATATTTTGATCTATACAATGCTTAATTTATTAAATATATGTAACAAAAGCCGGTTCTTATCGGTTCTGACCGGTTCTGACCGGTTCTGACTGGTACTTATCGGTTCTGACCGGTTCTGACCCGTTCTGCTCCCCAGTGACCGGCGCCAGCTTTGTGGTGTTCAACGGGGCCCTGAAGGCCTCGTCGGGCTTCATGGCCAAGTCCAGCATCGTGGAAGGGAACGCCCCCCCCCCCCCCCCGCCCGCCCGTTTTCCCGTTCGGGTCGGCGGTTCTGATGGTTCTGATGGTTCTGCCGGTTCTGTGCAGACGGGCTGATGGTGCAGATCCCGCTGGAGACCATGGAGGCTCTGCGGGCCGCGCTCCGGGACCGGGCCGACTTCCACATCTCCTGCGGGAAGAACGACGGCGGAGAGGTGCGCGAGAAGGTCACCGTGCGCTGGGTGGACTGGACCCCGCCCGCCAACGCCGGGTACGCTCCGGGACCGGTTCTGACCCGTTTATGACGTGGTTCTGACCCGGTTCTGACATGGTTCTGACATGGTTATGATCCAAAGAACAGCAGAATAACATCAGCCTTATTAGATCTGACCCGGCTCTGATTCAAAGATCAGAAGAATACCTTCACATTTATTCAATCTGACCCGGTTCTGATCCGGTTCTGACATGGTTCTGACCCGGTTCTGACATGGTTATGACATGGTTCTGACCCGGTTCTGATGCAGAGATCAGCCCACTAGCATTAACCTTATTAAATTAAACTTATTAAATCTGATCTGACCCGGTTCTGATACCGTGATCAGCAGAATAACTTCATATTTATTAAATCTGACCCGGTTCTGATCCAAAGAACTTCAGAATAACTTCATATATATTAAATCTGACCCGGTTCTGTTCCAAAGAACTTCAGAATAACGTCAGCTTTATTAAAACCGACCCGGTTCTGATCCAAAGAACTTCAGAATAAGGTCAACTTTATTAAATCCGACCCGGTTCTGATCCAGAGAACTTCAGAATAACATTAACTTTATTAAAACCGACCCGGTTTTGATCCAAAGGATCTCGGGTTCTTGTGACCTCAGGCAGATTGCAGCTGGCTCCCTGGAACAGAAAGAGGAACCACAAACATTCGTAATGTTGACATGTACACGTGGTTTGTTTCTTGGTTCCAGAGAGCCTCCAAAACCAGTTTTTCTGAATGTTTCCAGAACCAGAAACTGGTTCTTCATCCGCGTCAAAGAGCCATTCGGCTCACTTCATCAGCAGAAAAAAAACATTCCCAATCTTACATTTCTGCTCCAAGCTAACAGTTAGCTAACAGTTAGCTAGAAGTTTGCTAACAGCTAACAGTCATCTGAATGACAGCTATCTGAATCAAGTTAACTGTTAGCTTGGAGCAGAAATTTAAACCTGGGAAGGTTTTTTTTCCTGCTGATTCAAATTAGCTAAAAGTTAGCTAACAGCTAACTAACAGATAGCTAACGGTCATCTGAATGACAGCTATCTGAATCAAGCTAAAAGTTAGCTAACAGCTATCTCAATCAAGCTAACACTTAGCTAACAGCTAACTCCTATTTAACCCAAACAAACCCCAAAAAGGGAATTCAGATGCTGTTTTTATATTCTTTTTACTGTTGTTTTTATTTTTAAATGAACAAACTATCAGAACCAGAACCTCTATCACAGGGGTCGGGAACCTTTTTGACTAAGAGAGCCATGAAAGCAAAAAATTTGGAAATTTATTTCAGTGAGATCCATATAATATATTTTAAAAGTGAATTCAACTAAATGTCAGTATAATAAGCCTCTGAATTTATTATTTTGAATAATGTTGTTATAATACTCGTGTCGAAGTGCCGCTTTACATTCGACCGTTTCATCGATGCAATTTTGTCATTGCAAATTAGACACACCGCAGAATTTGCTCTCTCCACAAAGGCGAATTCTTCAGTCCATTCGTCCTGAAATGTACGATACTCGTCATCTTTTTTTCTTTTCGCCATCTTCTTCGTCGAAGGGTTAGCTTTAAGCTAATGACTGCTTCAAAAGGGGCCGTTTACCTGTTTTACGCTGCAACGGCCAACGTAGTCCAGTATCATCCAATTAAAATAATGGACAGTTGCTCCTGACGCCCTGAACAGGACATGAGCAGGGAAAAATCGATGGATGAATATTTGTAGCTTGTATTTGTATACAAGTGAAAATATTTAGTTTTATCTGCGAGCCAGATGCAATCATCAAAAGAGCCACACCTGGCTCACGAGCCATAGGTTCCCGACCCCTGCTCTATCAGGTTGTTAAACCGGACCTAATGTCCGACCGCTTTGCCTCTTTGCAGGAGGACGAGCGGCGTGGACGGCCGGCCGCTGGACGGCGTGCGCAGCGTCCGGATGCAGCAGGACGCCGACTTTGAGTCGGACGGCCGCGCCATCAGGTGCACCGAGGTGAGCGTTTAAAACTTTCAGCTCGATACCGATACTCAGGAAAGTACTCGATACTCGATACCATTTTCGATAGCACAAGGATAAAACAAAGACCCCAAAATGTAACTGAATTTGGACAGGTTAGTGTCTTTGGTTTCAAACTGACCTGTTACTGATGTTATGGTGGCCCACATTAATGACCCTAACCCTAACCATAACCCTAAACCTATGCCTGACCCTAACCCTAGCCCTGACCCTAAACCTAACTATAACCCTGACCCTGACCCTAAACCTAACTATAACCCTGACCCTAACCCTGACCCTAAACCCAACCCTAACCCTGACCCTGACCCTAACCCTTCATAATTGTGAGAAATAAATATTTTTTGGTTAAACTTGTTTGGACTTATTGTACAAACCTATTTAACATCCACTATTTTAACATAATATTATGTACAGAGTTTAATTCAGTGTTTGCAAGATTCATTTCACTATTTTTAAATTAATGTCTATATTGCCATGAAGCAATTAGTATTTTCTTGCCTGGGATCTTCCTATTGTTGACCTAATCTAAATGGCCGACTTGGATGTGGGCGGAGTTGGACATCCATCCATGGCTTCCTGCAGACTTTATTAATGTTGGCGTGTTATTATTAGCCATTAGCAGCAGCTAGCAATTCAAGGCTAACTTCAGGTTAACTCATTGACTGCCAGCCATTTTCAGAACAGAGTCCCATACTGCCAGAGTTTTTTGAGCATTTTGACTGATTTTTCCAGAGCCACAGAATAGTTTGTGCTATGACTATGTAAACACCGAACACACCAAAAGAAAGAGTACACTCTCTTCTTTCATCAGGAAAAAAAAAAGTGTTTCTACCTTATTCCGTTCTTCCTGGACTTGCGTCTCACCGGCGACATGTTCTCTCATAGAACCGTTAGCTTTTTCTTATTTGCCTACAGTCTATGCTCATCTCCCATCAAAAGTGGCACTGCCCCCTAGAGGGTCAATTTGTTACTACATACTCTGTCTAGAAGCCCGATATTTACGGACAAGCTTTAGCAGATCGTCCCCCAGCCACTCTCGTTGAAAAACATAAAAGACGTCTATAGACGTCTTTGGCAGCCAATGAGTTAATGGTCATCTGACCGGTCTCGTCCTCTCGCAGGTCTTCCAGCAGCCGAAGCCTCCCGGCGCCGGCGGCCTGGCGGCGGCGGCGGTGTCCTGCGGGGTCTTTCAGAAGGAGATCGCCATGGCGACCTGCAGCGCGCTGACGCCGCACCTCGCCGTGCTCGCCGCCAGCGGCATCAACTCGCTGTGGCTCCGCGTTTCCACGGACGCCGACGTGGTGAGAACAGCCGGCCGGAAAAAACGGGGAAAAAAACACAACTCTGCTGCATTTAGCAGCCGTACACAGTAGAGAAAAACAAAAATCTGGTCAAATTCAAAGCTCTATACAGGAAAAAATGTAAAAATAAAATTCAAAAGAAAGAGAATTTAGCAGCTTTACACAGAAAGAGAAACAAATATGGTGCATTTAAAAGCTGTATAGAGTAAAAAAAGAAAAAGAAAGAAATTAGAGCACCTGTACAGAGTAAAAAACAAAACACATCTGGTGCAAAAACAAAACATCAGGTGCATTTAGCTGCTGTTTACAGTAAAAAAACACAGACATTTTAGCACCAGTTTATTCTTTAAAATTTAGCACCTGTATACAGTAAAATAAACTGATATTTGAGCACTTGTTTACACAAAAATAAAAAAAATCTGGTACATTTAAGTAAAAAAAACTAATTCTGGTGCATTTCAAAGCTGATTACAGTAAAAAAAAAGGAAAAAAAAGAAAAAAGAAATCTGGTACATTTAGGACAAGTATACACAAAAAAAATAAGAAAATCTGGTGTATTTAGCTGCTGTAACAGTGAAAAAAAACACAGATATGTTAGCACCTGTACAGGGTAAAAACTAGCATTATACACATGTATATAGATACACTAAAAAACACTGAAATTTGAGCACCAGTTGACACTAAAAACAGAAATCTGGTGTAAACACAGAAATGTTAGCACCTGTACACAGTAAAAACCAGACCTGTGTTCTCACAGGGATCAAAGTGGTTCAGTTTATTTCAGCCGCTCAGAGAAACGGCGCGGGGTTTGATATGCGCGCCGCTGCTAACGCCGTTAACGGGCGCCGCTAACGCTAACGCCCCTGCTAACGCTAACGCTGCTGCTAACGGGCGCCGCTAACGGGCGCCGCTAACGCTAACGCCGCTGCTAACGGGCGCCACAGCTAACGGGCGCCGCTAACGCTAACGGCCGCCACCGCAAAT